TGGAAGAAGAGACGCATTATGTGTGTGGCTTTGATCTCTGACCCTACCCTCCTCCTCACCCCAGGGCCACCTCGGGAAGCCAGTGGGACGGGGGGAACTACCACGTCCGCCCTCTCCTTCCCTCTGCCCCTTCCTCTCCTGGCATCACCCTCCTCTGCACCTTCCTCCCCCCGCATCTGCATGATCCCCCCCCCTTCACGACCTTCATCCTCCAATTGACTCGTCCCAAACCCTCACGGGAAAAGGGAGGAACGGAGAAGAAGTGGAGTGTGAAGGAGGTGCGGCGCCTGATGTCGGGAGAGGGGGTAGAGGGAGAACGTGTAATTGTGGTGAGAAAAGTAGAAGGGAGCAGGGGTGGAAGTGGGTGGGAGGAGGTTGTTAAGGTGAGGGAGAGAGGAAGGTTCAGGAAAGATGAAGTGGAGGATTTGTGGACCGAAGACGAGGGACAAGGCGTGTTCTGGTTGCGGGTGACGTCGTCCGCCATGGAAAAGGGAGGGAAGGGAGATGCTGAGGCGGTTAGGGTGCTAGTAATGTTGTACGATGAGGATTGGTACGTCGAGGGGGAGAATTCATCGGAAAGCAAGCAATGAAAGTAAATTGTATAATATGAAACGCGAAGTACAAGCTAAAAATCGGAGTGAAATTGTCTGGGTACATTAACTTAACATTGCTTTTAACCTCTATACATTATCTTATCTATAGCTATATGCTTCGTCTGCAGTCTCCATGATTGTGCGATGACCCAGAGTTGGACAATTTATCTTCAGCCGTCCAAAAGATTTTCTCGGCAGACTTTGTCGAGCCACGATAAAAGTATTGTTGCACAATTATTCACGCGGGTCATTTTCTTTCCCCTCTATCTATACTTTTCAGGCACATAACTATCCTTTTCTAGACATTGTTGGCGGAATTTGTGCGAAGAATGGCTCTTGTTTGGGGACAAGAGGTTTGGAGTGTTGAACGAACATCAAGTTTTGAAATCGCCGTTGAACGACCGTTAAAGTGACCGTTTCTTTCCTTTTCCCCTCCCCCACCCCCCCGAATGAGCAACTTGGCGGCGTTGACGTCTGGGCATGGGTACCCTCAAGGATGCTGAGAATCCTAGGTTTTTTTTCCCTATTGTGACTGCTACGAGTGATTTTTTATGATGACGTGAAAAATCCTTTTTCAACATAAGTGTGTCATGTGCATTTCACCAGATTACTCTCTTCTCAACTTCTACCATCAAACTTTACCAGTCGTAATTGCGCGTTGTCAAGATTCCCAAAACACTCACCTTATTATGCTTACGACTTTAAAGCAGGACTGGGGCGCCCTTATCCCATGGACAAATTTGTCAGGCGCCTATCCTCCTCAGCAAAGCCAAACGTGGTCAGAGAGGATGACCGTGCACCTCCATTAAACAAGGAGAGCGAGAACGGTAAGAAACCCAGATACTCAGGATATATAAATCAGTTGTCAAAACAATATCAAAATCTGATAGAAAAAAGCGCTGCGGCGGTGTAAACAGTCAAAGTAGTAACTTTAAATGTTCCCTGATCCCTCTTTCACCATCAGTTCCTTGATTAGGCAGCGGATGCTTTCAATCACTTAATATTTACACTTTTTCTCCCTTCCTTTTTTTTCCTTCTTCCTTCTATTACGTCTTATCTCTTCCTGTCATCGCATAGACGACATCCCCTTTGCCATAGAGGCCCCGGGCAGTCGACGGATCCTGTACTTCTCCGACTCGGAGAGCGATTGCAGTCAGATTTCCTCGGAATGCACGCCTCAAAGCAGCCTTGAGACGCCTGTGTCTTCCATTTCTGAGGACCTGGCCGCCTCCCGGACATTGAACGATGCCACCCGGGTCCTGTCCGTTTCTTCCACGCGCGTGTTCTCCAAGACCCCGTCGTCCTCCTCTCTCACCACCACTCCCTTTACCGCCTCCCTCCGGGCATTGCCCTCCATCCGGGAGGACGCAGCCATCACAGCAGCGGCCATGGGTGTTACAACAGCCGGGACTGACGCGGCGGCTCAATCAATAGAATTAAAGGGGGACGGGGGAGAGTCAAATGGGGTAAGCGGACAAGGAGGTCGGCATGAACACGAACCAGGAAGGAAAATTCCGGGAAGCGGGGGTGGGGGTGGAGACGGGAGGAAAGAGAGAGAAAAATCAAGCAGCGGCAGCCGTCTTTTATCCCTCCTGCCGGTCCGTCGTGCCTCGAGCAAGGGCTTCGCTCTGGAGCGGCCGCGCCCCGACAGGCCCCTGACCCGCTTCCTCTCTGTCGGACGCAAAGCTTTT